GGCCAGCTGAGTATCATCTCCTGTCATCACTTTCAGCACTAACTACGGCAGTTCCTGGAGGAGTTCCCCAAAGCAGCTCCATCTGTTTCCCTACCCTAAAACAGCCCCTAACATTAGCAGTGACAGGTAGGACTGACAAGTATGTGGACAGGCATGAATGCTTTTCTAAAGATTTCTAAACTACCCCGAAGTTCTTTTACCACAATAGTGTTGCCGTCTATGACAGCTGACCTCAGACTTGGTTCTCTGAGCAGTGAGTTCAATTAGCTTTAATACTTTCAACATTTAAATAGTTAACAGTAAGCAAAGTTCTTTAGAAGCGTAGGGGGATGGCTGCATGTGTGTCTGCTGAAGTTGTCAGGCAACGATGGAAAAAAAAAGAAAAAAAATTTAAAATCTCTAATTGCTTCCAGACAATGCCTTTTGGGTAGGGCTGCGAGAGAGCAAGGGGAGAGCTCGTGCTCTGACAGAGGGGCTGCTGAGCCAGAGGAGAGCCGGCTGCAGCCCTGACATCTCTCCAGTCCTGCCTGGTGACCCTCTCAATGCCAGTGGAAAAACTGCCCAACACAGTCAAGCTCTCCAGCTCTCTGCAATACCCCTGGATAACAGGAAGCTTGTGGAAAGTCAAATGTCCCGGGAAGTGAGCCAGCAGATCTGGGTCTACTGCTTCTACTGAGTCTTTCTTCACAATCATGGCCTGGTCCTGTCACTGACTCATTCTCACTGCCTGTAAAATCTGAGATAAATCTGAGCTGTTGAGGGCTGGACTTTGGTAGCTAATTTGTTCAGGTCCTACAGTAGGAAGTGGCATTGTGTCATTGATATACAGATAAATTCCTGCAATTTTCAATGTATTCTTAGCTAGTAGTATAACTCTAATGCAAATCTTCCTGCTTTGCTATCTTCCATGTTATTTTCTGGAGTTGGTTCATCTAGGTGTTGGCAGAAAATTGGATTCACATATTTTTTGCTGTAATTGGAAAACAGAAGCAGAAGGGCCTGGGAGAGATGGCAGCAGAGAGCACTGAGGAAACTTCACTGGCTGCAAACAGCATCAACAATCAGTGCCAGAACTGAGGGAGGAGTAATAAGGTCATATATTCTGTGATGACAAGTGGGAGAGCTTCTACTTGAACTACCAGGACTCAGCTCAAGCAACTCCTGCCACTAGTCCAGCCCTGGCTATGATAAACCATCTTGAAAGGTGATTTTTCAGGAGAGCCTAATTTCTGAAGAAGCACAGAAAAAAAATTAGGTGTCACAAAATTTAGCTTTTACTAAATTCCAGAGAAATGATAAACTGCTCTCCCAAACCTCCACAAGTTTCTGTGTTACTATAGTCCTGCCATTTATTCTGCTTTGGCTCAGCTTCAGACAATTCTTTATCAGACTTTTCTGATATTTAAATGCTAGGCATTAGAAATTCATCTTAACATGAAGATTTGAGCTTGGTTTGTGGTGGCAGGAAGTGCTAGTATTTAGGTTATTTCTCTCTGGGAAAATCTGTATTGGTGCTTGTCAGCCCATAATGAAGATACTCATTTTATTACTTATTCGGGTCTGATTGTGTCCAGTGGATGCTGTCCTGCACTGATGTCTTTTGCTATTTCAGAGTTATAAAAATCCAACTGTGGAGTTGAAACCACTTAAATATTTTATTACAGAAAATGTAAGCTCACCATGTAAGTTTAGCAGTCAAACTATATTTATATCTGTGCAAACATACATGCTTTTACAGACCCCAGGTTTTATCTTACCCTAACTAATATAGGAAGTAAATGGTTGGATTGAAGTGGGATTGTTAAGGGTATATATGAGCATGATTTTATATCAGGAGTTGAACAAGTCTCCAGTAAAGCAGTATTGTGGTTTCTTGCACTTGGAAAGATCAGAGAGTGTAGTAAAAGGAGTCTGTGGAAATGGATGACCCTACCGGCAAAGAAATCCACAGGAACATCTTGTGTGAATTCATTGTTACACGTTGACATCCAGTGGAGAAATGGTCTCAGAAACCTCCTTTCATTATCTATACAGCAACCTGAGGCAGAGGCCCCTGAAAGTGATGTTGCTTAACCTGAAGTTTTGTCTTTCAGATGGATTTAAAGAATTTAAGGCACTGTCAACAGTTACTGCAGGGAAGGCAGTGGAGATTCAAGATATTGGAAAAGCACCACATTTCATCTGGAGCCTTCTCCACTCATGGCTGAGCTGGTGTAATTGAGTTTATGAGGAACCATCATCTGTTTCAGTCTAAAGTCAGCTGGGTTAATTTAAGGCAGGGCTGACTAGCTGGCAGGGGAGAGCACTTTAAACCTACCCCAGCCATTACTGCTGCAGCCTGGCCCACTGCCAGCACCGAGTCTACAAGGACTTGGAGTATATTTAGCTCCAGCTTATTCTCTGCCCCCTCAACTTACATGCTGACCATGCCAGCTGTGACTCGAGCCTCTTTGGCCCCTCTTGCTGACATCCTCCAACCTGGCTGCTTGTTTGGAGTCACGCTGTTTGCTGGCGTGGTGCTTATCTTCCGCCATGAAAATGCGACTGGGCAGCTGCCCTGCTTGGAGACTTTGGGCAAGCCTTTTAATCCCTCGTACTTAGTCTGCAGATCTGCAAAATAAAGGATTACTCCATGAGTCCTGACAGGACGCTGTAAGATGTGATGCAGGATATTTGTGCACCACTCTGCTTTCTCTGTAGAAAAACGGAATGTGTTTAATATATAATATATCATCTATTTCCAACATTGGCAGAGCAAGTCAGTCAAGGACCTTGTGTTTATTACTCCAAGAAGGGATACAGCCCTGCTGTCATTACAAAAATTTTAGTTCTTACTGTATTCCTGGAAAAGTGCACCAGATTATAGTTTTCTCTACCAAACAAGCACTTTTTTTAATATTGGAAGCTACTTTTTCATCCATTCCAACTTTGACTTCAATTTTTCGTGGACAAAAAATGTCAGGCAGCTTTATAGGATTTCCAGTTACAAATGATACAAGCCTTAGCACATCTCATAGGCAAGGGAATATGATGTACTTTATGATCTGATAAAAGTAAACCTGAGGAAGCTATTCCTAAAACTGCCACTCGGGGTCAAGGATGAGATCACATCTGAGAAGGCAGCAGTGGTATCAAACACCTTTTGTAAAACAATGACATAAAGGGTTTTAGAAAGCTGGTCTGAACTCAGGGATCTGGATTGGCTCATAGTGATGTCAACCGTGTGCCTGTAATGCCCAGAAAATGTTTCATTCTTCTTATTTTCTAGGAATAATTACCCCTAATGACAGCAACAAGCTAAATTAAGTCCCTTGGTGTCCTCTGTGAGCTGATTATTATGTGCTCCCAATATTGCTCCCACAACCATTGGAATTGAGGACCAAGAGTTTTTGTCAGGCAGACTTTGCACCTTGGACATCTTTTTCACCCCATCATAGCAGCATCAACACCTTTTGGGCTGAGGTTCTTTACCTGCCATTCTTGGGACTGCCAGAAAGTTCATTTTCAGTGTGGTCTCATAGATTGACCCCTTTCTCTAGAGCAGGTTGCTCAGAGCTCCAAACAAGCTCTGGCCTTGAACAGTTCCAGAGATGGGGCATCCACAACTTCTCTGGGCAGCTTTCTTAGAAGCCCACTAAAGGTTGCAGGGAATTGTGCTCATGGAGGTGGGAAACGTTTCATTCCTGGGTGTGTGATGTAATTAAGTATTACCATGGTGCTGAAAACCAAATGTGCCTTATTTGAGGGACACCACCAAGGCTCTTCCTAGACAAGTGTAACTTCAGTTGTGCCTTACTCCTGCATTATCAGGAATAGCAAGGTCTGAGGTTTCCATTGCTGCGTCCCGAACTTTCATAAATAGAATGTGTAAATTCCCTGTTCCTTGTGTAGTGAGGTATCACGCTTGTGTCTTTAGTAAAAGTCCATCCCTTTACTAAAAGTCTTTGTGAAATAGAAGGTTACAACTACTAGGGATTTGGTTCACTATCTAAGAAAAGAATGCAATTATTGACATAAGTTCAGAAAGAGAGAACTAAAAGGTTCATAGAAGAACTAAAGGGTGTTTAACAACATATGCAAAAAGTAGTCTAGAGACCAGGAGATGTGTATTTTCACTGTTTGATCTGCATGTAACATAATCTGACCTTTTGCAGGTACAAGTGTATTAAACAGATTCTCATATAACCTGAAAATAGAGGAAGAGCATTTCTCAGTGCAGAGAGAAGGACATGAATATGTAGGGAAAATGGGGGGGGGGGGGGGGGGGAGTAGCCAAAAAAGTTGATTATCAACTTCACTTTTATTCTGAAGTGTATTACCAAGGTCTGTGCTCCTCCTCATGCTTTGCAGCTGGTATTTCTGCAGGTAAAGAATGTGTAAATTACATTAGCAATTCACACCAGTTTGGACACTGATCTAGCAACGTGAATTTAACAGAGCCACTCAAAGCTCTGCCCACTTGTTGCAATTGGAGAGTGTTTAACTTGAACCCAGGTGTCCATTCCACTTGGCAATGATCTCAGATCCTAGCAGGAATACCCCACCCACTGCTGCCCCACCACTCTGAGCAGCCTTGGAGTAAATGCTGTTTACCCGGCAGCACTGGGAAATGCAACACAACTCAACAAAAAACTGCTCCAGAGGAGTTGCTGAGAGGTGTGCTGTTCCTGATTGTCCTATTCTTTTCTTTTGATTGGCCTGGGAATTGTACCTGACTGGTTGCTGCCTCCTGTTGTTTGTAATGCCTCTCACAGACCCTGGGTTCAGGTTTGTTTGATAAGCTGGGATCTGTAAAACTGCAGTCTAACAATTCCACCACTTGTTCTAATTTAGTGAGGGGTGAGAATTAACAGATGGTGTCATTATCAAAAGCTGTTCAAGTGTTGAAGCAACATAAATTCCACAAATACAGAAAAACAAATATAAACTGCTGTAATTTTTCCAATATTGGTTGAATTATAATCACACTTTGCATTTACACAGGGCTTTTTAATCCACAGCTTTTGAAGTGCTTCCAGATTGTACCTAAAGCTGAGTCTAGATGTGTGAGAGAGGAGAGTATAACATTACCTGCTCTGCTGAAGTTGGAGGTGGGGTGCTGAGTGTCAAAGGCTTACCCTGGACATCTGCACAGGGGCTCTGGCTTCTTCACCTGGCTTGCTGCTGTTCCAGCTGAATGGTCCTGGGTAAGTGGTTTCACTTCTCAATAGCTGAATTTCTGTTTCTAAACAAGGAATCATAATGCTTTGCCTCCTTTGGGAAGTGTTTTGTTTCCAGCAGATGAAAAGTGCTGTGTTGTAAGGTGTGGGTGTTGTTGATACCATCACTGTTGCAACTATTAAAGAGCAGAGGCTGGGAGGGCTTAATATTAAATACGTGGTCTAGGTTTCCAGAGGGACTGAGACTAGCAGGGTTCTGACTGAAGTTCTTCTAAAAGCTTGATTTTTTAAGAATCCCATAGTGAACACTGTAAAACAAAAGTAAGGGTTTGCTGGTATGTTTTTTTCCCCCTCTCCTTTTTGTTATCTTTGGTAGGTAGTTATTAAAAGTTCTCAGGACCTTTCTATTTCAGCTTTCTGCATATTCTGTCTTCACAATGTACCAGCCTTTGTCTTGACTGTGCTCCTGCAGGTGTGAGGGGTTCTGCAATTGAATTAGGCAAGTAATTGTACTGAGGAAAAAGTTTGAAGGTTTGAGCTCACGTTCTTGCACGCCCTATTTTTGGACTTTGTTATGAGCTCATGATTCAGGAATTAAAATAAAAAATACAAGTATAGGGAAGATGATCTCTTGTTGGTAAGATGGGTGTTAAGACTGCATAACAATAGTTATAGATTTTATAAAAAAAAAGATTAGTCCATGATCATTGAATTTCAGGGTTGTGTGGTTCAGGCAATAATATTTATGCTGTTGATTATATTTATCTTTTGGTTGGCCCAAAGGATTCAGTGGTGCTTTGTGATAGGTGCCTTGAGGATTTGCATTTCACAATTCATGTGAGTAGGGAGGGAGGGAAGAAAGAAGGAAAAAAAGAGGGTGGAAAAAACCCCCAGCATTTTGGGAGAGGAAGGTCTCAGATTAATCATTGGAAGTTCTACCCCAAGAAACAAACTTAATGTATTTAAGATTCCCTTTCTCACATGAATGCATTCATATGAGTGTTGAACTGAGAGGGACCCTTTGCATCCTTTGCTAGATTTGTGTTGTGTGTTTGTTCTCCGTTCCATGAGCAAATATCATGGTACAGCTCATATCCATGCAGTCTTTACCTCCCACAAGAAGTCAGCAATGCTTGAGTGGCATCCTAGGAGCAAACCCTGCCCTGTGGCAGCCCCCGAACTCCACTTGGCCCTGGGTAAGGAGGGGAAGGAGGGAGCCAATCCATCCAGACCAGAAGTGGGCCAGAAAGTGCCACTATAGCAACAAACAGAGGACAGTGCTGAGGCTACTGTAAGCCTGGCTGTGTTCACAGGCTATAGCTGGTGATTGTGTCCTACAAGCCGTTCAAAATCCCTCTGAAGGGCTGGAGTCTGTGCTAATTTCTAGTTGTGCGATGGATGGATCTGTTTTGAACATTTACATTTTTTAAAAAGACCATATTTCACACATTTCTTTGAGTTGCTTTTGTGCTGAAAGATGACTTCTCCTGCCAGAAGGTCCTGCTGGTGGCCTGGTGATGGGGTAGGGGTGACAGTAAAGGGACAGTGGGGAGTGTTGCGTTGCCCTGTTGAGTTCTACATGGAAAAACCTGGCGGGGACTTAGTCCTGAGACTGAAAATTCTGTCATTTCCCTTTATACACCAGAATATTATGAATGGTGTTTGTTTATTTATTTATTCCTTTTGTCTTGATCAGATAAAAAAAATAGACAGGACTACTTGAGACTTATCCAGCTTTGACAGCATTTGAGGATTTATAAATGTGGGTTTCAGCTGCGCTTGATGGAAGTTACTGCAAACTGGCAAACCAGACTGGAAGCCAACACAAGACAACCACAAATCTGGCAACAAGTTACCACTGCCAGATGCCTTTGCTGTTCCTTTAGCTTTCTATGGATTTGAGCCACTTCTGTTTCTTTTTTCCTTTTTTTTTTTTTTAATTAATTTTTTTTATTTTGGAAATACTCTCAAAGTAGAATGCAGGGGTTTGGGCTGCCTAGCCAAAGTTTAACTGTCCTTTTGCATCTCTGCTAAACTTCCTGTTTTTGGCAAAAACAATTTATTATCTTGCTGGTTCTTTACACCTGAAAGGATCTGCAAGTACAAATAAACTTGTGGTGGTCTTTTGGTTTTTTTTCATGGCCTTTCAAAGAATAAACTCACTTGCTTCCTCTCAATGATGTGGTCTGTTCTAGCAAATAAAGGTACTTAACCTTTGAGCCACTAGCAAGATTCAGAAAATGTTTTAATTATGCAGAACTTCTGCACTCTGAACTTTTAAAGTACAGATAATTATTTTTTTCATATGCTAGAAATCTTTGTTTTCATGTGGTTGGGCAATAGCATCCCTTGGCCACATGCATTTTAAGGGAGTTTGGAGTGAGTTAAAATTGGAAATCTTTGTTCTAAAAATTTCCTAAGCCTTTCCTAAAGGTTTATTCTTGGCAATCCATGGACATGTGGTAACAGAACAGAAAAATCTAAGACAGGTAGGCAGTAATCATCCTTCTTACTGGCCAAATGAGATCTGAAGTAAGAAATTAGGCAGCAGAATTATCCCTTGTCTTCATGGAGGGAGAGCAAGAAGTCACAAACCCAAGCTCTGCTGCAAAGTAATTGGAGAAGAATTTCCTCTCTAAAAATAAAATATATGTAAGTTATCCAAAAAGGGAAAAAAAACCCAAAACTCCAAACTAGCAATCTGTGTCATTAATCCCCAATGCCTCTGCAGTGTAAGAGAATGGAACAAAAGTGTGTTTGCAAAACTGGCATTGGCAGGATTAGGGCTGTGGAATGGGAGGTGGTAACTTGGCATTGGCTCCATTTCTGTGTGCCTTCAAAACTTACTGCATATTACCTGCAACTGTTGGGAAGATGTTGAAGTCTATTTTTTGCGTTGTACTTCAAAGGTTTTGCAAATTCTTTGAAGGTGACTTAACAGCTATTAAATGATACTAAAAGAGGAAAAAAAATCGAAGTCTTTCCAAAGAAGAAGTTTAAAGGATGTGTTTAATATTAGTGTTGGAAATGTGCTATAAATCCTCGTAGTTTATGTGTGTCACCATCTCTGAGATGGCATTTATCACAGCAGAGGGAGAAGGAACAATTCACAGAGGAAAGAATCTTTCAAGAGTTTTATATGTTCCTCCCTATGTCACCAAAAAAAGGGAAAAGAAAGACATTTGAGCAGAAGCCCTCAGCTGCACAGAAAGCCTTGAACAGTTGTAATGTCCAGGTTGTATGATAGCAGGACACTCCTGCTGTTTTCCTTAAGGAAAACTGTACCTTTTGCCCTTTTTCAGCAGTTTGTTGTCTTTCATAAGGTAGTTATAAAACAGCAAGAAACTCCCCATGCCAAGTAATAGGAAGTGAAAAATGTAATTCAATATGTGGAAAACCCCCAAAGTTTGAATGATGAATATAAAAGTTCAAATGCTCTGAACGGGATGCTTCTGTTGATATTTTCTATTCTAGTTCTATCAATTAAAAATTCATGCAGGAAATTCTAAGAAATGTTAGGAAGAGAAATGCGCTTGTGATTTATTAGTTGGAAAGATGTTTCTCTAGAGTCAGTTTTAGTTTCTTGACCCTCTGAAAACCCAAGCCAGGAGTTTTGTCAAAGAGCTCCATACTCATCCTTTCAAAAGTGGAAGTGTTTAAAGGAATGTTGCAAGTAATTTCTGATTCCACTAGCTTCAAAGGAGTTAACTGCATTTAGCGTCCTTAGCTCTTAGCTTAATTTGTTAAATCAAGCTGCTTCTGAAATTTATAGCAAAATTGTTTTTCTCTGGGGAAATAATTACTATTCCTCTTACTGGTGTGTGTGCAGATGTTTGTCAGCAGAGGAGTTGGAGTCGATGAGTTTAAAGGAAGTGTTTCGTTCTGTGGCACTGAGCTGGTATCCTAACAAGAAGGGGAGCTGATCTATTGATTCTTGACTATAGGGTTGTGCCCTATTGATGGGAAATTTTGCTTTGATACAGTTTTCCTGCAAGTGAAACCTGACTGACCTGTAAGTGGCTGTAAGTGAAGTAGGGCTGGTTCATTCTGGGCTTCCTGTGCACCTTGCCACAAGGTGGGGATGGGATTTTGGCCTTCAGGGCTATCACTTGATGGTCATCAGGCAAGGAAGAGGTGTTTAGTATCTGACAAGGCTGAACCTGTAGTAAAAACTATCATTTTGGGTGTAGTTAATGAAACCATTGCTCAAGAGAAGGGATTAAATTAGTGTGTGCACCTTGAAGAGGTTTTGACAGAGGGAAGTTCTGGCAGATCTGCCTGGCCTGAAACTGCATGGATCCTCAAGGGGAAGGATTTTGGTGGTATGCTGGAATAGACAATCCCGTCACTCACTGAGTTCTCATCCAATTGAGCCCCTGTCTTGGTACAGAGGTTGGAGATCAGAGAATTTCTCTAGGTTTGTTAGGAATGTAAGGGTTTTTTTCCAAACTGGTAAAGGCACTTACTGGGGAATTTGGGACATTCCCCAGAACCTCCAGAGCTGGAGCCAGGTGTTTCAGTGGATTTCACGCCTTATTTGTGTTGTCATTAATGGATGTAAAACTTCTAGCCTGGCCATGTGCAATACCAGGACAGGTACAAATGCAGGCAGAGCTTTCTGCAATATACTCTGAAGGAAATGGTTTGCATGGTTTTCCATCATCTGAGCTACTTGATGATGGATGTTTCTTTCCTCCTGAACCATGCAGCATATTATGGTTTTGGCTGAGAAGAAACTTTGCCCTGAATATTTTGATGTCTCAGTTCAGAAGTAGAAAGCCATACTGGGGGCTTTCTTAGGTCTTCACTGGGTAAATTCATCAGTGAAAGGAGAGACAGATGGATCTGAGTGATTGTCTGCTGCAATACTGCATCTTGCATTGCATGTATTGCAGGATGGGGAAAGGGTGTTGGTGGCTCATCAGCTCCTGGCTTCCCCATCTGCTGCAAGAAGCAGAAGAATAAAGTTTTGTCAAATGCACCAGTGGCTACAACTGACGGAAGCTGGAGCTTCCAAGGCTTATAAT